TTTTTTTTTTTTTTTTTGAAGCCTAATGGGATTTCATATACTGCGTGATGTATGGGGCACTTGCAGTCAGAAATATTGAACTCATAAATGTACTCATTTACCCTGGAGTCACTGAGAGGGAGACTAAATACAGGACACCGCAATGTCACAGTCATGCAGAGTCACTTCTGTAACAACAGAGCTACAGTAGAAAGGCCATATTTTTCTTTGATTTTACTGCAAATCTGTAAATGAGCTCTGTGAGGCTGCTATCGCTGACTGGAGGAGAAGGTGAACTTTTGCTGGATTTGGCTGTATGCAGACCTCTTTTGCATTTTGTGGTTTTTCTGAGCATTTTGGGGTGCTATTTTGAAGGGACCCTGCACACGCTCTCTGTTCTGCCTCATGTCTCCACCACAGCGCTGCAACCCTAAGCTCTACCAGCTTGCCCTTCAAGCATGAAGGTGAAATGAAGTTGAATGTGCACATCCGAGGCAGATGGTTAGCCCTACTCTTGCAGGGGTATTTGAGAGAGATTTTCCTCATGTCATTTCAGCAGCACAGAAGGAAATGAAAGTGTTTCTTACTGTAAATACTTTTCTCTCCCCCCCCTTCCTCTGCACTGCTGTGAATGTCTGAAGACTCACTTCACTGCTTTTCTCAGAGAAGGCTATTTCTGTCACGTCTTAGATCAATTTAGGCCTGTCCTATGCACATATGATAAAGCCAGGATGGTGCTTTGGCAGCCTTGAACAAACTTGTAAATTTTGGACACTGGGAGCAGGAGGTGAGATGTAAGTGTTGTTACTTAGAAGTCAGAGGGGCCAAGCCACTGGCTGAAATGTGGAATTATCAAGCAGAGCCAAATTGTTTGAAAAATAGTGCAGACTACAACACAAGGTGTTTAACCGTTTCTGAGATGTGTATACATGTAATTCCACCGTGTGGAGCTTCCTTAACGGGCTCTGTCTATGCCCAGAGACACAGCACAAAAGCGTAAGATTCCCAGACACATCATGAACTGCTGTCATGGTTATTCCCCACCACATCTGCCAAGACCGTCTAAAAAAATCCAGGTGTTGACCCTAATGCAATGGTGGTTTACTTCCTCCAGTGAGTGAGAGGGTTTCTGCTGTGTTACTTGTGTAACCCACCTTGGCAGTCAGTGCCAAAGGCTGGTATGCTTTAGGGCATCTCGATGAGAGCAAACAGGGTATCTGATCCTGTGCTGTAGATAAGCCAGTCTTTGCTGTGAACAAATGACGAGTTTTCAGACTTGTCTCTGGGATATTCACTCCAAACAGAGCCAGGGGGGCTTTCAGGCTGTGTTTAAGTCTACTTTTGCAATGCAACTTAACTTCCCATAACCTTTATTCTTTGCCTGTGGTGGCTGTATGGAGCCCTTTCCTACATGGCAGGTACCATTCGGTCACTGGAAGAGCCCAGCAAAGTTCAGGCTGGCGACATAGCCTTTGTGTACAGAGGGAGAGCCTTCTCTCACACCTCCTGCTGCTGAGACTCTCCGTGAATGATTGTCACTGGTATTTCAGAAAAACAGCTGGTCTGCACCTGCAGTGCTTTGTCCAACTGGACTGATTGCTCTTCCCTGGGTGGGGATGCTGTACTTTGATAAACTGGAAAAGGATGAAAGAAATAGGTGTTTTGCCTTTGCCCGGTCTCGGCGTTAGCATCTTCCTAAGCAGGATGAGCTGACCATGAGATATTTTTGTCTTTCCTCACCTCCCAGCCCTATTCTCGCACTTGCAGCTAGCTCCAAGGTGCAGTACTTTGCAGAGCACATTGTGGCTCAGGTTGGTTCAGCCCGAGTTCAGTCACCCAAAACCTTGCGGGTCTATTTTGAAACATTTTTCAATCTGTCCACTATAGAGTTTCTTTTCTTTTTTTTTCACTCTTGCTTCTGACATCATTTCCTGAACGCTATATTCACGGAGCACTGTAGCCAGATCGTCTTCTCAGCATATGATGCAAGGAGCTCTTTAAAATGGATTTCAGCTCTCCTTTTACTCTGCAGTGCTTGCTGGTGATAATAACTGTTACTCATGGTAAGTGGGATTTTTCTTTATGAAGCTGGCACAGATTTGCCTAGATGAGCAGACACCTTAATTTTGCTCCAAGATCTTTTAAGGACTCTACCAGATTTGGGGAGACATCAAATAGTGTAACTGCTAATGCATGAAAGGGGCAGTCAGACCGAAGTAAGACAGATTATTGTTTTAGTAAACGAATGATAACTAACGATATAGTATTTTCTCAGCGTACTGCGTCTGTAAAAGCATTTCAACGGAGAACGTTAAGGTCCTGGTACGCAGAACAGTAGCTAGAGGGGCTGGAGAACAATGTGGTCCTGCTCCTAACGCTCGGTGTGACCTTGGGTTAGTCCTGAGCTGCTGTCACCCTGTCATTTACCCATCTCTGATTTGCGTACAGCAACTTAGTGATGTGCCGGGGTACTCTGAGGCTGCTTCAAGTTAGAGCTGCGACCTTACTCTTTGGGTGAAAGGAGCTGTGCAGGCAGCAGTTGTTTTTGCTACCCTCTGTACAGGATCCATGGCATCGATCCCCTGAGGATCTTTCTTTGCACTTGGCTCTGAGGGGGAGGTGGTAGGACGGTCATCTCAAATTTGAGGGGAGAAAAGACCAGCTGCTCAGCCTTTTGTCTCCCTCTGCGCATGGTGCGCACACCACTCCCATGTTAGCAGAGGGGAAAGATGGCCTTTATAGGTGGCTTCCCACTCCTCTGATTTCCAATTACCTGTGACCCCAGCCTGTTGCTAGGGCTGGGTCTGTCCCCCTTACATCTCAGCTGGGTATTTGCCTCTCTGGGAGGCAGCTGAGAGGGGATGGATGGACACGGCAAGCTTGCTGCCCACACTCTCTGCTTCTCCTTTCAGGCTCTGTCACCTCGATCAGTGTGCTCAGGGGCGGCTCAGCAGTCTTTTCTGTGGGAATCCAAAGTCTGCAGAGCCTCTCCAGAATGACCAAGGAGAATGGGAAATGCTTCACAGCTGTCGTAAATGATACTTTGTTGGCCAAGTGTGGCAATTCTGCTGGCAGGTGCCTGAACTTGGAGAACGGCTCCCTGGTGCTGAGGAGTGTGGAGAAAGAGGACGAAGGAACATATGAGTTTGTCTTTCACAACACCACCAGAGTCATTACACTGGAAGTATTTGGTAAGTGGTCTTCTTAGCAACAAACAGCTTATGAACTTGTGAGCCTGGCTGGAAGCTGGTGCCTTGAAATTGTACCTGAGACACAGCTTGAGCTTGCAGGAGCTATAGGTGCCTCTGGAACAACTTTGTAAGTCTCTGGCACCTCAGGGAGCAGTAATGGTGACTGTAAACTATGGAATGCTTTTTGCATCCATGTTTATCAGTCTCTCCTGTCTGTTGAGCCTTCCTTGAAGCAGCCAGTCAGTCGAGCTACGTGCCATTTTTCCCTGATGTAAGAGACAGCAGCATGAAGTATTTGTAAAGCTGAGCCTGCAGTGTGTAGACATGTAGCTGGAGATTTCAGTCCATTTCCAGACTACTCTTCCTGATGGCTCTCATGAAAGCTCTCACTGACTGGCAGCATTTTGCTGCCTGTGGACACACTTCCTTAAGGAGTTAACCCTACCTGACTTGGCTCTGGAAACTGAATTGGACTTCTGTGCAGGTCTGGGTTGAAGTGTACTTGGTTTTTTCCCCTGCTTCATGAAGCCAAGGAAGGGTATTAAAGGAACTTGGATGTGACTTTCTGATTTTTAGCTGCCCTGAGTAGGTTGGAGGTCAGCATCTTCTGGGTCTTTTCAGAGACCAGTCATAGGTACCTTGTTGTGCCAGCTTCCCTACCTGTCCTCTCCGTAGCCTCAGAATGGCCGCTCCCCTTCATGTGCCTGTTCATCCATCTGCGGGGTGAGAAGACAGAAACAAAGTCGCTTCTGTACAGGATCCAGCTCATTGCTTGGGTTAAAATGGAGAAGGCTTAAATGGGTTTCCCACCATGTTGCATAGTGCTCCAGCCAGCCAGTGGACACGGCGCTGGTCCTCATCTCCACAGTTGCTTTTGCAGACCTTTCACTTACACAAGCTTCTAAGAGAAATTGAAGCGTATGAAATTGTAATGAAAATGTCTGAGCGAACTGGTCTCAGTGAAGACAAATGAATCCTTACATCTTTTGGGCTCAAACAAGCGGAACTGCCGCGGAGAGTCGGTCAAAGATGTGACTCCTTGGCATCAAGATCAGAGGCTTAGACTGGAAGTAGGCAAACACTGCTGAAGTGTCCTGGGTTTAACCTCCATTTCAGTGGATTTGCTTTGGGAATGTTTGTCTCTTTGTGTTCTGTTGCCACAGCCTTCCAGTACCTAAATGAAGCCTATAGGAGAGATGGGGAGAGACTCTTTATCAGGGAGTGCAGCAACAGGATGAGGGATAGTGGTTTTAAACTGGAAGAGGGGAGATTTGATTAGATATTGGGAAGAGATTCTTGACTGTGAGGGTGGTGAGACACTGGAAGAGGTTGCCCAGAGAAGTTGTGGGTGCCCCATCCCTGGAGGTGTTCAAGGCCAGGCTGGATGGGGCTTTGAGCAACCTGCTCTAGTGGGAGGTGTCCCTGCCCATGGAAAGAGGAGTGGAACTCATGATCTTTAAGGTCGCTTCCAATCATAGAATCATGGAATGGTTTGGGTTGGAACCCAAACCATTTTATGATTCTGTAGTTCTCTAAGTAAGTCGGGGAAACAGTTTCACAGCAAAGGTATTCCTGGAGGCAGTGAATTTTAGCTGCAGGTGATGTCCTAGTTGAAGAAAGTGATTTCTGAGGTTATTTACATGGATGTTTGCATAGATGTTCTCAATGTGACTCTTACTGTCATAAAACCATACCACTTCTCTGCCTAGTCTGTATTTGCAAAGTGACAAAGGTAGGAAATGGATTGGTCCCTTGTAATAAACCGAAAAAGAGAAATTCAGGAAAATGTAGTAATATGAATGATTCATTACTTGGTTTTAAATTGTTCTAGTCTGGGCCGTCCTATCTAACTGCAGGTGTCTAGTGTTGATACCCATGTTGGGCATGATTTGTGCTCGTTCCTCTCCAAAATGGAAGAAGAGGCAGAGTGACAGCAAAAGAACAAACCTCTGGAGGAGGAGAGTGCCGAGTCTCCTCTGAAGCTATGGTTATCTGCTGATTACAGAGGAACCCTCTGGCTGGCAGATGCTTTGGGTGTTTCCATCATCCCCCCACATCAGGGGCTCTTATTTTTTGCTTTTCCAGTTTCAATAAAGAAAATGAAGAGATGCCAGGTTTTTGTGGCGTTAGCAGGGTGGGGTGGGCACTGCTAAGCATTTCAGGGCTGGGGGCAGGCATTGAAGAGGCTAGTTACTTACTTCTGTGCTCCCTGGCTACCAGTAAATGCAGTGATAGCAAAACTGCCGTGAAGGGAAGCTCCTGTCCAGCTCATGTTCACTGCTCCTCACCTCTCTCTTTCCTCCCTGTTCCTGTTGCCCTGTGCCGTGTGTGACCAGAGCCGGTCATTGGTATCCAGTGCTTCCCTAACGGGACTGGAGAGTTGTCCTGTGATGTGACCAGCAACGAGAGCACCAGCTTTCGGTGGCTGCTGAACGGCGCTGCGCTGAGCGCTCCTGAGGCTTGTGTTAAGGATGGCGGGAAGAAGGTTCTCCTGGACAAAACCGTCCCCGGGGAATTTGTCTGTGAGGTTTCCCATGGGAACAGCAACGTGAGGACCCGGCCCGTTGTGCTGTCTTGCAGCTATGGTGAGTAACGGTGTCTCCAGAAAATCTCCCTTTTGGTCTCTCACAGCAAAAAACCAAGGAGTTGTTGCTGTCTGCATAATACCCAACTCTTCTGTCCTCTGGCAGCTCTGGCAGTCTGCTTTCCAGACTTACCACATCCTCCCTTTAGAAAGTGTGCCCTTGACTTCCTTCTCCCTCCTGTGTCTCAGACTGACACAGCCCATGATCACAGAATGGATGAAAGTTTGTTCAGGAGGTCCTTTCACCCAGCTCTGCAGCAAGGGTGGATCTCTGTCTATTTTCCAGCTTCCCAGTGATGGAGACCTCGCACCCTCCTCTGCACTGATCCTCTCTGCCAGTTTAGAAACACGAGTTGCTTCCTACTCTGATGTTCATCCGTTACCCAGATGGCCTCCCAGTTTCTGCAACATCCCTGCAAAAACTCCTCTGCTCATTCAGCCCCGTTGCTGCTGGACTCAGCTGAGGTGTTTTGCCTTGTCTCTTTCCTCCTTTATCTAGGCCAGCTGCACGGAGATTTACCAGTCTATACAAATGTCTCTCCATCAGGCCCACACTATCAGAGGTGGGATAAAGACACAAGTCATTTACCTAAGAAATGTAGAGCTTTTTTCCCCTCTGCGTCCCTGCTTGGGTATGGAGCTCTGTGAGAAGGCTGTGACTTTATCCATTTACAAGCTATCCATAAATGCTTAGTACTTTACTTGAAAGAAGCCATAGTTTAATGAGACAGAAAATCTGAATCTGATCAAAAACTGCCAGACCCTCATGATGCAAAGCACTGGTCTGTGTTGGAAGCTCACATTTATTTAAAAAAAATAAGAAATAGATTAGATATCCTTGGGTGTGATTTCACTTGCATCTCCAGTGTTGAAGCTTTTTCTCCTTTCTGGCAGTGAAGGTGGTCATCACAACTACATCAAGGTGGCATAATTTAACTGTAAGGTTTCTGACTAATTTAGCTGTAATTAATTTAATCACCTTTTCTATGAGAGTAGTTGTACCGTCCAATAGCACTTAGCATTTTAGAAATTGTCTGAGATGCTCCTACTCCACAGAAGATACTGTCTTTTCTTCTATGGTTGGCATACAGTTGGTGTGAAAGGAAAATTACTGACATAAACCCTGTATCTTGTGTGCTGGCATTCAACAGAAACGCCGTGGGCTGTCCGTGCTCACATGTCGGTGCCGCTGGCCAATCTGTAAAAGTTTGGTATTTGTGATTGTGGAGCAGCGGTCTTAATTTTGTCCGGTTAAATTGGTCAGAGATTGTTCAGTGTAGTCAGACACAAGCTGGCTGAGGCACCTGGGGAGTGAGGATGTGAAGATCCATGAGCTGTTCAGTCAAGCCCTGTGATAAATCACGCGAGTGCTGACAGTTACTATTGTTTGTTCTGGGTGGCTGCCCAGTCCCCCGGGTGCGATATCAGTTCCCCATTTCCTCTTGAAAAGCCCACAGGGGAGTTTAGTGATAGCTCTGTTGTGATGGACACGCGCACGAACACGTCTTTGGAAGGGTCTGAGAGCAAGAAAGTAGCAGCGATTCTACTTTTTAGTCACCAAATGCAACCGCATTTGTAAAAAGTGAACTGAAGCAATTCTGAATGCTAGTAAATTGAACTGAAGAGAGAAATGAGTTCAATTAAGTTAATTAAAGACTAATTCATTATTTTTGTGCATTATTATTTGCTCCAGGCAAAGGGCTAAATATAGTTTTTCCTCTGTAGGTATAAGATCTATGTAAAAGCACCTATTTGGGCAACCTTGTTGGCCAGTGGAATGAACTTTGAATAACTGTTAGTGTGAAACAGTTTGGCAGAAATACTGTGAATTTCCCAGAAATCAAAGGGATCATGTAGGATCTAAAGCGGAGGATTCAGAAGTTAACCAGTCAACATATATAAAAGGTTTTTATTGGTTCAGTACTTGTTTTATTACTTGTCTATTACCAATTTTTAACAAACTATTTTATCTCAAGAAGACCGTTCTAACAAATGGCAAATTTTTAGGAAAAAATATTCAGGAAATTTTTTTTCCAACATATATTTATGTCTTTGACAATATTCTCTAAGCTTTCAATGAAAAGGAAATAAAATTATTAGGGAAATGATTTCTCATCTGCTAAAAGTTCAATTTTGAGTATAGATTTTTTGAACTTGGCAACTGTTCCTAAAAAGACCAGAACAAGCACTCCAAAAATGCTTTGAGTATGTGTGATTTCCCACACAGGAATACCTGTCTACAGTTGTTTTTACTGTTCTGGTGAGTATGTAGACTATGAAATGTAGCAGTTCCTGGAAAGTTTGAAACACTTCCCAGTCTTTGGGGATATGTAGCAATTTTGTGCATTTGTGGTCTTGAAAACCAGCTCCAAATGAGCCTGTTGGTTTCTGCAGTGCTGTGCTCTCCAGGCGTGTGCGCAGCCGAAAAGAAGCCAAACGATTCAAAAAGGCATGGCATAGGTTTACCTGAGGAGTTTTAATGAATTTTTATTATGGTAATAGTTGAGCTCTATGGATTTTTTATTTTTTTTTCACACGGGAAGAATTAATCTTCCTACGGGCTGCCCCAGGTTGGAGCACATTGTCTCAGTGAGGGAGTGAGTCTGGATGGGTTTCTCTTTTCTGCAAGTCTGTGATGCCCTCTACCAGCTTCCCTGCTCAGCAGACACGTACGTGCAAGCCTGACCCCATCAAAGCAACCTTGAGCAAAGGGTTCTGAACTGGGTAATAATTAGCACTGACTTGTGTGTGGCCTTCTGCTCAGCCATCTGGAGCCTTCACCTCCTGCTAGGTGTTTCTCATGATCTCCATTGGGAAGAGGGATAAAGAGAAATCCTTCCCCGAGCAGCAGCAATGCCGGTTTCCAGCAGCTCTGACTGGGGTGGCTGGAGTCTCTGGTGCCTGAGGAAGTGCAGGCTCTGATCAGACTTGCTTTGAGGTTGGCATAGTTGTTACATGGCTGTTCTGAGTGGGTTCTCTGGGGGATAATACAAGCTCTGAGGGTAGACTTTGCAGCTTTTCTTTCAGCAGGAGGTGCTAGCTTAGGTCTCTCTCTTCTCAACTACCTGTTTTCGTAAAACTTGTTGAAATGTGGTGTCTTTCAAACCACCACTTTCCCTGTTAAATTTGATTAAAACTTATGAATTATTTTAGATGTTACTGGTTAGGGTAGGCAGAAAGAAATGTACACAGCTTAGTCACACAAGCCTCTTCTCTTAACAAAAAATTCCATTAAACAATGTGCCATAAATCACAATGTACCACAGTTCAGTGTCAGCTCCCCTGACCCAAACTGAAGCAACAGCAACGCCCACATGCTCTAATCTGGCTGCAGGGTTTCTCCTGTTTGGAGAAAGAAGCTTGTCCACCCTGGTAGCTAACAATGCCGTGTCCTTCTCGCAGGAGACCTGCTGCAGTACCCGTGGTTCATTTACATCCTGGCAGGGTGCGCAGGGGGTGCGGTTATCCTGGTGGTAGTTGTGTCCTCACTCATATGTTGCTGCATGAAGAGGAAACACAAGTTCCTCCCGGTGCCTTCAGGTGAGTGGAAAGCACTATTGCCCCCTGGGGTGGATGAGTCTTACAGAGGACTGTGTTTGTGCAGGCTGGTGTTGAAGTAGCCTCAAAATAAACTGGTCTCAGCTGGGTGGCTACTTGTCTTCTAGCCAGACCTTTCTTGACCTGGTGGAGCAGAAAGCTGCTTGCTGATAGGCAACTGTTATAACCCGCAGGGTCTTGAATTAAACCTTACATTTCCTTTTTTTTCACCTCACTCTTGCCACTGTGTGCTCCTGGCCAGAAAGAAACACGGCAAAACCTTTACTATGGGCAAAAAAAATTGAGTCTTGGTCAGGTCTGATCCTGAAATGACCTGAAGGCTTCTGATGGCAGTTAGTTGTCAGCACCAGCCATGAGTGCAATCTGCCCATGCCCAGTGAAGCCATCTCAAGCTGTGATCTTGCCAGCATGGCCAAGTTGGTCTCTGACAGGTTGGTGAGGGCCTTTTGTACTCAGCATCTGTCTGCTCTGGGAATGGAGCCAGAGCTGCATGAGGAGGAGATGCAATCGTGTGTTGGTGGTCTGGCTTCACAATGATTGTGCCGAGGCTGCTGGGATGTGGGGGACCTCTTTCCTTCAAGTCTGCGATTTTTGTTTTACAGAGGAGGAGAAGGATGACGGACTAATCATGTCTGTGGTCTCCAGTGAAGGTGTGAAGAGTCCCCCCAATGGAGACCATGTTGAGGCTCAAGCCGCCCAAATTGACTGCCCTCCAAAGCCTGGTGGGTCCAGGGACTGGTTTTAAGTTGTATGTATAGCTTGTTTGGGAGGGTGAAGGGCAAAATGGATGTGTGTGGCTGGTGGGGGAGGAGCTGACTGTAGAGAGAGGCCTGGGACTCGCTAGCACAGGGAAGATGCTACATCTTGTCCAGATGACAGAAGTTGCAGCAGGTCATTTATCAGTACCTTACTTGTGCTCGGCTTCTACACAGGAGAAGCTTTGCCCTCACCCAACCATGAGATGTGGCAGCCATCTCATAAGCATCCCACAGAGGGTACTGCTAGCAGGCTGTCTGTTCCAGTATTTCCTGTGCTAAAACACACATCTCAAAACCAGCAACCCCCCAAAACTTAGCAATTTTCTTGCAAATTTATCACACACATCCCCTTTTCATCAATAACATTTTATGAGAATCAGCATTGTTTTTGTAAGCAGTCATCTTCAGGACTGCATCCAACAATATGCTGAGCTGTAAACACAGCTAAATCCCATCAAAGCCAAAGGCTTGTATATTTCCTTAAATTTGGACTAAAGTGGGAATACGCTCACATTTTAAATCCTTCAAAACAATGGAGTATAAAACCCCAGAGCTTTAGCACAGTATGGTCAAGAGAGTGCAGCAATAAAAACCTTTCAGAAATCTCCTGTTCTGTGAGTGCTCGATATTAGTCTTCCACTTTTTTGCATTATGTTTCCCTCCATTTTATTTCTGAAATACAAATGCTGGCAACACCTTCTCGAGTACTGCATCGTCAACAGCTGAAGTAGGTCTAGCAGAGACATCATGGACTGGTGCAATGTTACGTAGGTCATAGCCTGGTCTCAGCACCGCTGTCTCCGCTCCTGGTGTCCTTCACTGTACCACACACAGCCTCTCAGCAGCTCAGCTATGCTTTATGTCTAACCAGGGTGCTGCTTTGCTCTGCTTTCAAAATATTAAATGCTGGTCATGAACATGGTGCAAGACAGAAAAAAAAAAAAAGAAAAAGATGTAAGTCATTCAGGTCATTATTTAATATTAATATATTTAAAGTGTAGAACTGTTTTTTATCCAATACAAAATTTACACATTGTCAGTTTGACTAACAAAGTATCCCATATTTTAATTTTCTCCAAATGAGTAAAAAGCAGAGGTGTGTGTGGAAAGTGTTTAGGTGAGAACATACTAAATGTGTGCTGTTAGCCAGCTCTAATTACTTGGATATAACAGAATAGATTTGGCTTTGGTTTATTTTTGGCAGTTGAGCCCAGAGGCCTCCAGCACCAAAGTGTCTAAAGAGCCATGATGGACAGCTCAATAAATGAGTAGTTACAAAGAAAATTGCAATTTGGCTTGTAGACACCTGGGGAGAGGGGACTGAGTGGGTTAGGCTGCCTGAATCCTCAGGGACTGGGAGGAGGGTTTCCATGGGTGGGCACTTATAAACCATTTTCCCTTCTTTTTCAGATGCTGCCCGGACTGGTCAAGGTGTTGAGCCCCAGCCACTGGTGGAAGAAAACTTACCAGTGGAGATAAACCCTGAGGAATTGCCAGACCCAGAGGTCATAGTTGATGTGGAAAACCAGGAAAATGCCTCGGACTGTTTCCCAGATCCAACTGATGACTGATCTGGCATGCTTGCTGATCCCCACCCTGTCTTGAAGCCTATGACACCTGTCCTTTGCATCCCATAGTCTCATTGTGTGTAAGAATTAGTCTGGAAAATTTTATCAGAGAAAAGATGTGAGGTGTCAGGCCTGGTAACCTCATCTAAAAAAAAAAAAAAAGGGAAAAAGAAAACATAAGGAAAAACACGTGTGTGGCTTCAAGGCCACACTGCTGTGGGCAGACAGGTTCATTAACCAACAAAACTGGGCAGCTCTTTGATGCTTTGTCTGTTAATAGACCTGCAGCTAAACTATGGAGCCCTAGAGGACAGCCTGCAATGAGGCGGGTGGTTCCTCCTGCTCCCTGCCCACCCCATGCCTTGCCATGTCTTCACCTGCCGGCGGTTTCTGCCAGGGGCAGGCATGACAAGTGGATTTAGGTGGCCTGCTGGTCCCAGATGGAAACAAAGACCTGCCAGAAATTTCCTGAGAAAGCCTTTTCTCAGGAGACTTCAAGGCATTTCTCACAGGCCCTGCGAAAAAGCCCAGTGGAGATTTTGGCTAGGTATCTGCTGCGCCGGGTGTCTATCTGAATCGCTCCGCTGAACTCCAGACCCTTTGTGCTGTGGCCCTCACCGCCTGCTGCCCGGGGTGGGGAGCGGTGGCAGGGGCTGCTGGCTGCAGAGCCCGGGAGGTGACGCTGCCTGGCTCACCTTTCAGTGCCCTGTAATGGCAGGGGGCTACCCGTTTTACCTTCGGCCAGCACCTAACTGCTCGGGTTGCCAGTGGGTTCAAACAGCTCTGTCACTAGCTTGCTTGCTTGCAGCAGAAGGGTGCCTGGGGCTTGGGTGTGTAATTTTGACGGAAATGTTGATTATAATGCTGAGATTGTTCACCAGTGCAAGCGTTAGTGCCTTTAGCGTAAGGGTTTAGCTACTACAAGCTGATGAAGCTGGCCATCTGCCTGTGCGTGTAGGCTTTTTCAGTGCTGTGCTATTTGCCCAGACAGCAGCAGTTTTTAGAATCTCTTAGGCAAGCCTTGCTGCTACGCACGTCCTGTTCTGCTCAGGGGAGGTGTTGCGAGCAGAGCAGCTGGGGTAGACCTGCAGGGATGAAGGACGAAGCGAGGAGAGGGTAAGGACTTTGTCCCAGGCAGCAGGTAGCTGTGTCCCCGGTGAAGCTGCCAAGGGCTGCAGGGCTGTGAGGCCACAGGGATGGCTGCAGGGATGCACTGCCAGAGCAAGGTGTTTGCCGTATAAGTGCATTTTGATAGCCAGAAGCGAGGCACGTTGCTGTTAAACTAGCCCAGTGGACTAGAAGGACATAGTAGAGTAAAAGCAGAGGTGGTACAGACTGGGGCAGAAGGGGATGGGGAGGTGTGTATTGCATTCCTCTCTTCCCTTGTCGTTTTGTCGCTGTTTTATATTGTGCTGGTACTGTGCCATGAATCCCTTGGCAGTAGATTTGAGGTGAATGCCACCCAGTGAGGTCTGCAAGTGCCCCAGCAAATTCAAAACCCAGCTGAACGCTTCTCTCCCAGGCGGGGGAGCTGGTGGGACGGCTACATGCTTACCTGGAGGACCTTCATATCTGTGTACATGGCAAAGCTCTGCGGCGGTGACGCCCAGCCGTAGGTGGTTGCTCTTGCTGTTTCCTTGTCCTGTGACTCTGTTTAGAAGATTTTTGGAGTTTGTGTGCTGTGTCGGTGGTGATTCAGCCTGTCTCTGCTTATTAAGGCTGCTGTAGGAGTCAGATTTTCCACAGTAAGAGGGAGACAATAATTTTTTTCCTCGCGGTGCTGCACTATCTCCTTTCAGTACAAACATTCCTCAGAGGCTGTGAGTTGAATGACAGAAACGTGACGCCAAGGGCTTGGGGTGGCAGCTGCCTATAGGCAGCACAGTGGCAGCAGCACTGGGGGGACAAGGGCCAGTGTCACTGAAATGGAGGGACGTAGTCACTTTTGCTTCTCTTCTGCACTTTCCGGCAGGGGCAGGCAGGGGACTGTCAACTCCAGTACATGCTTCGAAGGCTGAATGGTGCTCTGAGCTGCACTGGAGAAGATGACAGCATTTCAGGTGCTGAGGGTGACAGAGCTGGGCCAGCCTTGTCCTACTGGGCTGGTGTGTCCCAGCTCCAGGTTGCCCTAGTGCTGCCTTGCTGCTGTCGGCCCTGGGAGGGCTGGGGGTGCCCTGGCAGCTTTTAGCACCAACGCTGGTGTAACCCCAGTCTGGGAAGGATTTTTCCCATTGAGATGGGAACCTGAGACTCAAGAAGTCTTTATGAGGCAGATAGGACACAGCTGGTTTTCTATCCATCCCTGCTGAAGGTGCCGTTCAGCAGCAGGGCAAAGGTTTCTGTTACCGTGAGGACAGGAGAGAAGTTGTGCAGCCTGTGCTCTTCCTTTAAGTGTATGTGTTTGTGCACAGCTATTGTTCTTTTTCAGTGGTGGTTTTTTTTGTTTCTTTGTTCCTAATAAAAAGATCTGTTTTCTAACTTGTTTTGGAAATGTTTAAGTTCTGTTATTTAATAATTGTTTCTTTATGGTTTTCATTGAAAGTACAGGCTGGTTTCCACATTCTCACCCAGCCGAATAAAGGAAAAGTGGCTGACTAGAGCTGTTTGGGTAGTCTAGAGATCAGAGATCACAAGGACATCCGTTTGTAAGTCAGCCCAGGAGAGGCTGTAGGACAGTGGCATATAACTAGTCCCTGTCAGAGTGTGTGTGCTCATGTGCCTGCACATCCATGTGCATCAGCAGCTCACCAAAACCTGCCCTGCTGCCTTGCCTGAACTGTGAAGTGCAGGGAATGGAGGCAGAGGGATGGTCTTGTTTTACCCACCTTTATCCATCTGTATTTTTTTGTGACACTTAAGCCACCTTAGTTGTGAGAAAGGATGCTTGACTGCTTGGCTACTTTTGCAAGAAGGTCACTCTCTTATCCTCACCCTTAGACAAGTGGACCCAGACGGTGGGTAAAAACAATGTCCTGATGGTTTGTGACCATGTAAAATCCCTTGACTTTACCGTTACAGGGTTAGCGCTGAAGCAATTGTGTGACTAGACTTGGGCAATCCTGTCCTGCAGCCTGTGAACCCAGCACCCCAAGGAACCACCCACCTGAATTTGCAGCTGTTTTTCAGCCTAGCTATGGCCCTGTATCACCCAGGCAATAGTGAGGGTACTTTCAGGTCTGGGGCTGTCTGGCAGAGTAGTGGGTACGGATGTATCGGTGCTATCAGGAATTTGACCAAAAAAAGGGATGTCTGTGCTGTCTCTTCGACACTGAGGCCCTACTCTCTCCAAGTTGCTGAGTTATTCTCTCTGGGTTGCTTTCCCTTGGTGCTGGTGTTCCTCTGGGTTCCTCTGGCCTCCAGTGGGGAGCTGGTGCTTTCCAGGAGAGGAGAGCTGCATGGAGAGCTGCCAGTCACACCATCCTCTCTGGCCAGGATGGGGAAGGCTGGGAATAGGGCAGGATCCGTCACTCCGCTCGTCGAGTGCTGGTGGGGCAAGGGAGCTCTGGTTTTGTGGGAAATGTGGATGTTTTGGGATGTGGTTTCTTCCCAGCTGAGGCAAACCACCAGTGATTTATGATACCGTACAGAATGGGTGTTTAGATTTGTATCCACGTCAACGTTTCATGGTGAGAAGAGAAAAATTTCCTTCTGCTTGTGGCATATGCTAGGCAACAAATGACATGAAATGCAGCATGTCATCTTTTCATCATGTAATTCATGCAGTTTATGAATATGAAAGGAGAACAGAGAACGATCTTACTTGGCTTAAGATATAGGTGAAAGCAAAAGCAGAAAAGAAACGTATTATATAACAGCAAGCAGAGAAAGTGGAATGATCCCTTTAGATTTTTTTAGCATTCGGGACGAACTCATCCCCACAAGTCTCATGTCAGTAAAGTTCCCCATCCCAGTAACGGAACAGTTTGTGCTCTGCTTTCCAACCTCTACCCTGGGCTGCCTTTTGGTTGGATCCCAGCACAGGCACAGAGCAACCAGGGCAAGAACCAGCAGTTTGTGGGGAGCTGAAGAACCAGCCCTCCCCACCACCATCAGCTCTACAGAAACATCCGAGTAGAAGTTGGTGAGTCTGAGGGCTGATAGACAAAACTGATAATGGGCCAGTTCACAATAGCAAATGAAATGTTCATTGTAAACACTGAAGAGGAGTGTGAGCAGTGGTTGTGTTAACTTCTGATGAAAATCTCGGTGTAGTTGAAAAAACCTGTAGATTTTAGGCATGTGCGTAGTAAGTTCATGTCACTTTTTATGAATTACTGCAACCTGTTTCAAAATAAGCAAACAAGAAGAGTTCATGTGTAACGCAGCGTACAATACAGTGTCACCAATAGATATCTTCAAAACCATTTCCTTAATGTTAGCCAAGAAATTCTGGTGGTCCTATAAGATCCAGAAGAGTAGATATTACTACCCTGCAGCGGGAAGGAGTGAGATGCCCCATGGACTTCCATAGTTAAGCACACAGAACAGTAACAGAAGTGGGCAAGAAGAGCAGTGTCACCCATTTCTATCTAAGATGGAAGCAGAATTTGGTGATGTGTCATTGCAGAGGCTTGGATTAGTGTTTGGGTGTTGCTTGTGCCTTCCGCCAGGCTGCTCAATGCCTGAGTGCAATCAAACCCTGCTTGTACGAGGCTAGTGGTGAAGTCCCTCCTGAACATGTGCAATGCTTCCCTCTTGTCCTCTGGTGTCAAACAGGCTGGGAAACAACATCATCACCCAGTGGGGACCCTGTGACCTTTGACAAATGGTGACGGCATCCTGCATGGGTTTTGTTCACAATGAGCATGGCGTTTCCTTTCTGCAAGATTGTGTGACTCATTTCTCGTGCAGGGGATGTGGCTGGAGACAGCAGGGGAGTATTTACGGGGAACCTAGAAGGCCCTTAGATGAAGCCCTTATAAATATATGTATTTTTGAAGCAAGCAAATAGTTGCAGGTGTTGTGTTATTTATATCAAGATTAATTTAACTTGGATATGGTCAGTTAAGAGAAATCTCTGGACTGTGCAGGACCACTGGGAAGTGCAACATGTTTCTGACTGGCCTCTATCGAACCCCTCTTGTGTGGCTCCAGGCTGGCTGATGGGCTGAAGTGGAGCTCTTGGCCAGCTCTGGGATTGAGACACTCTTACCTCCAGCCCTCTTGATCACCAGCAAGCAATGTGGATGAATCATGTGGTCATCTGCTATTGATAGAGACTAAAAAAACTGCCTGGAGGGCAAAGGCTGTTTAATGGTAAGGAAGAAGAAAGTGTGAGAGTGAAGTGAGAGAGGAGAGGGAGGCCAGAAACACCCCCCTAAAGTATTTAAATATGGCTAAACCCCTCAGGAGCTGGATAGCACATTCAAGCAGCATGTGAAGAGCCTGACAACAACATTAGTATCTTTGTGAAGGCATTTCCCACCTTAGCCAGGAGGTGGGATTTCAGCCGCAAACAGCTCTTCTTCCCTGGGGTTCCTGCCCCCACCCTCCTGTCAACCATGAGGGCATGAGTGGCCTCACTTCATCAAATCATTCTTTACACTTGCAAGTTTAGGTACCTCACAATACTTCTCTCTTCTCAATGCATCATCTCCAGAAGCGGGGAGATGTTTATCACTCTCTACAACCACCTGAAAGGAGTTTGTAGCGAGGTGGGGGTCAGTCCCTTCTCCCAAGTGATAAGCGACAGGACAAGAGGAAGTGACCTCAAGTTGTGCCAGGGGAGGTTTAGAATGGATATTAGGAAAAAATTCTTCATAGAAAGGGTTATCGAACATTGGAATAGGCTGCCCAGAGAAGTGGTTGAATTACCAACCCTGGAGATATTTAAAAGACAGGTAGATGTGGTAGTTTTAGCAGTGCTAAGTGAATGGTTGGACTCAATGATCTTAAAAGTCACTTCCAGCTTAGACACTTCTATGATTCTATGTGTGCTTGGCACCTTAGTTTGTGCCCCAGGAGCTAACATTGCCATCTTCTTCGGTCCGCACCTCCTGTCCCCTTCAAGCTTTGCTGAGAGAAGGGGCCATTGGCCAGCACTGTGCCTCCCCTTCTCTTGAGGAGATGGATTTGGACCTGCTGGACTGTGAGCAGGGATGCCTGATACCCCAGTCGGAGCTGATTGCGGGAGGCAGTGAGTGGAGTGATTTTTGGAGGTTTGGATTTTGGAGGTTTTCCCTTTGCTTTTTGTGTGGTCCCTGGGGGCTGGAGGGGTGGGTGTTATGGGGATGAGGTGAGTCTCTGCCTCCTGGTAGATGGGAATGCTTGGCCTATGCCCAGTTGGTTTATGGGCATTTTGGGGTAGGGACTGGTCCTGGTGTGTGGGGAGACATCTGTAGTCTCCTCATTGTGCTGTTGTGTCAAACATTAATGGTAAGGAAGGGTTCCCATCTGTAGAGGTAGTAAATACAGTAACAGAAGAGAAAATAATAATAATGGTAAAAGAATATACAAAATCAGTGATGCAGTGCAATTGCTCATTACCCAATGGTCAATTGCCCATCCCATCCCAAGCAGCAGTTGTGGATTCCTGCCCCCCAGCAACCCCCCATTTATATACTGAGCATGGTGTCTATGGTATGAAATTCGCCTTTGGCCAGCTTGTCCTGTCTGTGCTCCCTCTCAGCTTCTATGGGAAGCTGAAAAAGTCCTTGACTTAATATAAGCATCACTTAGCAACAACTAAAACAAGATGTGTTATCAACATTGTTCTCATACTAAAACCAAAACACAGCAGCTACTAGGAAGAAAATTAACTCTATTCCAGCTGAAACCAGGACATATAGTTAATATTGGAAATCAGGGAAAAAGCAAAACTTAGAACCTGAATTCCATGCAGAATTTTCAAAACTCACCTAAACTGGTGAAAACTACTGGTAGTTTTAGTATTGTCTAACACTACAGAAAGTAGATGTATTACAGACTGAGAATTACTTGGAGGCAGTTTTCAGTGAATCTTTTGGAATTGCAAATATAGTACCTTAAAGAGAATTATTATCTGCATCTCTATTATATGCAAATGGAATAAAGAAATACAGTTTAGTGGCTATCCTTATGCAAGCATTGCTGTCTCAGCTTTGGTTTATACAAGTTCCTCTTTGAGGGCAAAACGTGTTTTCCCAAAACTAAGGAGTGAAGCAGTTTTAGAGGTTTGAAATGTAATAAAACAAGTAATAGGAAATCCTCAGTCTAATGAAAAATGAAGGAAAAGGATGACGTGATGGTGTTTTTGGGTCTGTGAGAAGAATTGCAACAGTGACCTTGAATGCATGACTGGAAGCAAAGAGCAATAAGAGTTTATGTTGCACTCCTGTGAATGCTTTCTGTCGCAGAGCAAATAAGACTCAGAGATTTCTGCTCTGAAACCACAGACAAACCTGTAGTTAGGGGGCTGGGGACACCAGGGATGGGATTCAGTGATGTGTGTGAGTGGGTAGTCAACTGCCTGGCAGTCAGTCTCAATTCATCTCGAGCTGACTACAGAAGCTGGGGTGGGTGGAAGCTTTTCCTAGGTGGCCCATGAAGCCTGGAGCAGGATCTGCCTGCTGGGTGGGACAGCATCTGCTGCTGGTGTCTCTGTCATCACAGGACAAAGCATGGCAGGACGGAGAGAGGAGGAGGATGCAGAGGAGGGCAGAGTGACGACCACTGTGGAGAATCCAAGAGGACAAAAGGAGTCAACGACTGAGCGTACAGAAGAGGTGGTGAGTGACAGCAGCTATAAATGCTGTTTCTTCGCTCAAACGGGTGGGGAGGTTGCAGGGTTCTCAAGCAAGGCCTGTCCTCTATCATTCTGCAAATTCTTCAGGCAATATAAAATGTTGCTCTCCAGAAAGCAGTAGTCGCTGCTCCTTCTTCCTCACACCTACTCTCCCTGACATTTGGCATAAATCATGTTCCTCAGATGGATGTGATCTCTCCTGATGGTGGATCACAGATCCTCTGAGCCGCTCTGGCAATGCTTAGCCTGGGGCGCTGGGGATTCCTTACTCCTCTCTGCTTTTCTCATAAGCCATTTGTAGGGAATGTGCTGTGCTAGTTTGGATAAGCCTGGGAAGGGGAATAAACAGAATTCTTGCCATAGCAGCAAACAGTAAACACTTTAAATACCTTTTTTTTTTTTTTTTTTACTCCACTGCGTGCCCCCCAACCCTCCCTCTCTAGCTCTAGCCAACCCTTCCAGGACTTTTTGCCTGACTTCACTTTCTGGTATGGGTTTTGCCAAATGAGATAGGAGAAGGGTGGTGGGAAGGCAGGACCCTAGCCAGCTTTCTAGGTACCCTGAATAGGGGTAAGAAATTGCCTGTTCCCTCTCCTTCCTGTGCATGAGCTTGGTCGGAGGCCATGGTGAAAGCTGTGCAATTTAAGCTTCTGTTTGTACTCATTCCTGCCCAGTTTTTGAGGGTTTGGGGTTCTTTTTCTTCCGGTGATTTAGTTTCTGATAAGGAGTTTTGTTTCCTTACCTTTTGTTGAGAGTTTAAAGCCTTGTTATTTGGCAAATATGAATGCCTGTTTACAGCTTAATCTGGAGAACCAGTTGTAGATGGAGAGGCCCTTTTCCGCTGGAGACAAGATCCGTAGGAGTCAACACTGCCATGAATTTGATATCATCTATCTTAAAAAACCCCAATGGTTAAACAGCTTTGGTGAAAGAGAGGAAAGTAGATGCCTGTGTTGATACCGAATTACTGATTGCTGTGGAGCTTAAAGGAACTTCCAGGCTAACACAAATAACCACTGCAGCAGTAGTTCCAACCCAGTGCCTCGTGCCTGTGTGGGCACAGGGCATGCACAGTAACTTTCCATTGAGGCTGCACTGTAAACTTGCAGCTCTGCAAAGCGGCCCCTAAGGTTCAGCAAATTTTACTGGGTTTCTGAAAGCGGTGTATGTGGGGGCCATGAGAGAAAGGTGGTCAACAAAAAGCCCGCTCTTTTGTGACGGAAACAAAAAGGGATGGCTGAAAATGGTGATGCCATCCTGAACCTGACCACTGAGACCTTGCTTGTGGCAATAGATGGCTCTGAATGGAAGGTGCTTTTAAATGGTGCTTTGTAGACATGTGGTTAGAGCCAGGAGTTGGGGTCACGGGAACATCTGGTTCCATTTGTTGTCCTCCTTTGGACTGGCTGGCTGACCTTAGCAAGTAATCTCATCCTCCTCTGGCTCGTTTCCCCGTGTGTGATCACAGGGTGATCACACAGGCCTCCTCTGTAAAATGGGTTTAGGCCTTGCTGATATGCAGCAGCACCTCACACCCGCGTGTTGGTGTGGCTGAGAGCTGGGAGACCTTGTGGGGTGCTGCCCGCAGAGGTCTGTCTGTGGGGAGTGCTGGGGTACTGCTGCCACAGGGGGTCCTGCTGGCCAGGACGTGAAGAAGGAGGTTTACCCAAACCCTTCTGGCAGTGGTGTCTCTCTCATTAACCTTGCTAACTTGCGAGGTGCTGGTTTCCTTCTGACTCTTTGGAGTGTGACGGAGGCAGTTGGGCCTCGTGTGTTGCCTCTGCAGAATTACTGTGAAAAGCCACAGCTTGCCTCCAGTCCCTGGGTGCTCAGAGGCGTTGCGCATAACATCCCCTGCCTGCCTCGCTGAGACATCTTAAACCCCAGAAATTCTCAGAAATGCAGTGACACAGCATCTTAGCCGTTGCCCTTCCTGGGTGACAGCAGGAGCCGTGGGCTGTAAACGTTTAGAAGCACGGGCAGCTCTGTTGCCTGTACTTTCCCCCCGCTGTGGAAAAGGCCCACTCTTTCCTGGCGCTGGTGCAGGTCCCTGCCGCGGCCGCCCGGCGCTTCCTGCCTCAGCCTGGCACGCTGGCAGCAGAGCTGAGCGTGGTCAGGGCCACGTTGTTCCCCCACCCTGAGAAGCATCCCGCCTGGGTCTGCTGTTGCTTCTCAGCCCCGATGTGGGGGGCTGGGTGACACTGGTGAGAGGGAGGGTGCTGCCTGCTTTGGCCAGACCGGGGTCTGGTCCTGGTGTGCCACCGGTGCTTGCTCAGGGGAGAGCAGGGTGTCCTGCCGCACCAACTAGCCAAAACCTCCCCATCTTGCCACGGCAAAGGTCTCAGCTCCTGTTTTCTGCCCCACTTGCTGTTCTCACAGCTTGCTAGGTGAGTCGATGCATTGAAATGGCTGTATATAGGAACGGACAGACACCAGAAAGGTGAAAAGCGGGTTCACAGGGCACAGAAAACTTGTGGGACCAGAGAAGAGGCAGGGGAAACTGAGCTGCTAAGTTGGGATCCACACTGGGCAGCAAAAGTGCTTGTACGCTGCACACAGATATACATGGTCCAAAGAGCGTCTGTATTAGGGATGTGAAAGATACCAGGAACCCCTTTTCTTGCTTCAGTGTGCAGAAGCAAGTCTGTGCTGACAGGTGACTCAGATGTTTCTGAGGAGTTTATCTCTTAATTTCCTGGTGATAAGGGCCAAAATGTCCTTATGTGTGTGTACAGGGGCCACATAATGGACTTCTGTTTGCTATCATAAATCCACCATCTAATATATAAATTACAGTCACAGACAACAGTGATTTTGGGATCTACAGTGACATGTCAAAGAGGCTTATCCAAGGTCTTCCAGGAGAAGGGACATTTTATGCCTGCATATATATGCATCCCAGGGGCTGCACTGATAGGACAAATCCCGACAGTGCCTCTGCAGCTTATCAGGAGAGTTGTGCTGATGGCTTGCAATTGAGGTTAAGACCTTCCTTTGTGTGTGGGAACTGCATAAAGGCCATTCAGGGCTCCTCCTAGGAGTAAATGCCTTTGGTAATGAATGTATTACCCAGTTGCTTGTGCTCAGTCTCCTGGATTGCTTCTCATCCTCCCACCCCACCCCTCCCTCCTCTCTGGAGTTAGAATAGTATAATAGAATAAAACATTGTACGGGACATCAGTTATTCATGCATTTGTTAAGCTGATGATTTCCAGAGAGTGTCAGATCTTGACCGTAAGATTAATTAGATGTCAATAACAAGTTGTATTTCTGGATATATTTCTAGGGGTAGCTGTTCTTCCAATATCTTCCTTGGATAGCTAGTCCATCCCCTCTCTGGTGATGAAGGGGCATATTGTAGTTAATACAGTGGTGTATTTATCACTGCTGAAAATGGAAGAGGCTGTTCTGTTAATCTGTCTGGCTTCTCGTGTAAGACAGATTGACTGCATCATGCCAGCAAACTTTTGCTTGGACTGCAACATGTTTTGTAGCACTAATAATGTCACTGAAATTACTAGAGTAGGGTGCTGAAAGTTAGACCCTAAATCTAGGATCATTATAGATGATGGAAGTCAGTGTCAGAAAAGCTAGACTGAAATGCACCATCTACAAGAATAACTGTCTGCTGTGATGCTGGCATCTGCTCTAGCCTCAGTCGTTGCTGTGAACCACAGATTGTCAAACTGCTCTAAGAATTTTCCATTCCTTCAGACCAGGCTTAAATTAGGTGTCTTTTATGAGGTCTGGCTGCTGACACATGCTTACAGGTAGAAAAGAGGAAAACAATTCTGAGGGAGAGAACACCTGGGGCTGATGTTGTAGTATTATGGACATCATGAGGGAACCATTTCTCTTCAAGCAATCTGCATGAGTCACGGTTTTAAAGCTTCAATTTACCTTTTTTTTTTTTTTTAGAGAAGATTTAAAAGTTTCTGCAGCTAGCTGTGTCAATGCTGACAGGTTGTGTCACTATTTTTGGAATATTTCCACTGTGTACAGGCAAAGCAGCACTCTCGGTTTGCATGTAAGAGGCTCCAAGCCACTGAGTCAGCATCCCCACCAAACCCTTGGCCAAAACTTTATTTTGAGTTCATATTTGATCTCCGTGTTTGCACCAGTCCTTTCAAGCCGGACTTCTTCCTTCCTTGGCTCTGTGTAAGGCAGATGTGAAGAAGAGGTGGTATGAGGCCTTCATCAGCCAAATGGCTGAAGCTGTATGTGGAAGCCATCAGTTCCTCAGCATTGCACAGTGCAAGGGCAACTCCCTCTGCCAGGGCTGACTCTGCTTTGTCCTCACTCCAGCCACTCCCCACAATTTCCCTCATCCTGCAAAAAAAGCTACAGCAAAGGGGAAGGGAATGTGCCATCATGAAGCCCTCAGCTATACCATGCAGGGCATCGCAGGTGGAGCCCAGCTGTTAGTCTTGCAGGCTAAAGTGCACACCCAGGAGAGCTCCCAAGAATAAGGTTAGCCTTATCCAAAGTTTGCCCTCTACGCCATCTGGCATTCCAATCAAGATCACATCCACTGTTCTCCCCACAAACTGTGCCTCACCAAAGGCTGTCTTTGTGAGAAATTTAGAGGTATGAATTTGCAATACTCTTTGTCATCTTTCACGGTGAGGGTCTCGGGTAGTGGTGAGTGCAGGGTGTCTGATTCTTCTTTCAGGGAAGAGTATTCCATGCAAATGCCATTTAATATGACCTAAGCTTCATACCAGAGGAGATGGTGCAAATTACCAGATGGGCTACAAATCCACGCTGGCTTATTGCACGTTGACTTTCCTGAGAAGAACATATTAAGTGTATTTATACTCTTCCTTTTCTACTAGATCTTATAACAGTCTCTTTTTTTTTTTTTTAATGAGAGTCAGGGATGAATGTTTATTGGCTCATCACTAACTTGAAGACTTAGAGCTGGTAACAGCTACATATTGTCTCTTGAGATGTTGCTTTCAGATGCGTGGGAGTCTGTCACCT